TTGAAAACTGCAATAATAGTATTTTTCACAGAATGCAAAATGTGATAACAATGTAACTATGCAAATAATTATTTGTGAGAAAAACATACTTGTTTGCTAACGTTTAATAGCGATGGACAACAATAGTCAGACATAAACATAAACGTTATGTTTTAATATGGTAGCAATGTGTATTGTTTGGTGACATTCGCGATGTACTTGCCCAACGCGCCGCTTGTTGCGACGGCGGAAGCGGTACATAAACAAAAGGCGATCCGTCTGGCCATCTGCGCGGATGCTTGTCAATACAGCGCGACAAATAACGACTATCTAATAAAGTCTAAGATCCAACAATATCACTAGCACTAGGTATTTACATTACATTTGGTGCTTTTCCGTTACGAATGTGTCTGGGAAAGTTTAAAGAGTAGACGCGATTTTAATGAAAAAGATTGGCGAGCTGGAAATATCAACCGCTTTAGTCTTAATCTGGACGAGTAAATGCCATAAAGATTTAGCTATTACCCAAAACAGAACAGAAAGACAAGGACCACTCTAACAGTAATGTTTACCGAGAAATATAATTTCCTTACAAACTAATCAACAAGTCAAACACGATCAAACGCATGCCAAACGTAATGATTTAGAACTACGCACGAACGAGAACCGCTCAACCAAAAACGACAACAGAGTTGCAGCACAAGTAGACTTCCTGGATTCGGTTCTTTAGCGAGAATAAAACTAGGAACCATCGGTGGGCAGGAACAACCCCGTTACCGATCTAACAATACTTTGGCTTTGCGATCGGTCGTTGGTCCCACACCACCCGGTTCCTAGAAGGTAAGCGGACACAGTCTAAAATAGTCGCGGCCCCTTCCGAGAAGCGTGACTCATGTCGGGACCGTCCTGAGCCGCATCTGGACCGCATACACACACGCGTATAGCTAATCAATACATACGTCACGGCTGCTGCTGTTTTTATGACATTTCTGCATGCGCACGTTAATATTTTGTGGTCGATATAAAGATGGGGTTGGAGAGTTTCCTTGTAAACTTCCTGGAAATTGGATGCGATGTTCGCGTTTGGAGTTCGAGATAGCAACGCACTTAAGCCAAGGTGAACCAAGACAAGCAATGAGGAAAAGAAAAGGACATAAGGCTTTAAGCCCTTTAGCAACAGAGGCTGAATTGAAACAATCCATTTTGCTCATGCGACTTTTAGTGCCCTATGCTAAATCTTGGAAATCCACATAATTTAAATTGCGAATTATTTTGTTTTTGTACAAGGAAAACTAGCAGTTTTATCGTTCGAACAGTTTCAAAGAAGTTGCCCATCTTGTTTTTATGCGACGTCCAGAGATATTTCTCCTTTAGCCGAGATTTATTTTGTTGCTGAGTTAGAAACGACTCGACTTAGTCATGGAATTCTCAATAAACTCCATTGGTGGCGGAATAGCGTTCTGCGAACTTTATAATCAACACAAGAGATTTATTGTAAAGTGGGGCTACTGTTTTGCATTGTTTAGCTCCCAAGAACTATGATTTGTAATTTATTTTTGTTTTAAGAAATCGGGTCAGCTGTTATATTTAGTTCCTAAATTATTTGGGAATCATTGTTTCATTTGACGCAATATTCTAAGTATACGATCCTGCAGCGGTGTCGTTTATTTATCCGCATTAACGGAATAAAACCTGATGAAAGTACAATCGAGGTCATGGACTATCTGTATTTATAATTTCGTCCAAATTAGTTCAGTCGTTATTTAAAGATTATTGCAAACTTCCCCGTCTTTACGAGTAGTGGGATTAATTCGTAAAGTACGAGTGTGAAGAATTGCTCATTAACGCATGGCGCCACCGCGCGCCACCGCGCGCCGCCGGCCCGCACTCCACGCACCATGCGCCTACGCACCTCGTGGTACGTGCAGCTTTACGACATTCACGACATACACGCAATGCTTTTATAGCGAACTAGTAAACCCCGCTATTACTAGACACGTCAACGTTAACACCATTCCAATTTGACCCCAATGTGTCTGTTGCAAGTTTAAAAAAACTCACTTCTATTATGTTACTGGCTAGATAAATACACACATGATCTCATCCAAGATCTAATCTAGAACTCGGCGTGTATGAAAAATTCTAATAATAATAGTAATGCCGGAACTACAGCGGCGACCTCTCATTTATTATCAAGAAATGTAATATTATTATATGTATTCTGGTAGAACGAACGCTTCTCCATTCATCAAGGCGTTAGTGGTTAGCAAATAGGTTAGACGATAATTCTGGCAATGTTTGTGCTAATATTTCTTCTCCATTGACAGTTTCTTTAAACACAAGAAGAACTAAGAATTAAGTCAAAGAAGCGTAACTATAAACAGATTTGTAGCAAGCAATAAAAATAATAATATCAAACAAGATTGGCTCCATCATCCTCATATAAACACATCCACTCATAATGTACAGGGTGATTCACTTTGTTTAAACGCCTGGATTAGAAGCAGTAGTATCTTTTAATACTGTACCGCACTTATTTCGAGCAAAGTGCAAAAATAAGTTATGTAATAATAAAACTAGTATAACATGTCTGTTCGTATGACTAAGCGCTTGATATTTGAGTGCGCGGTATTTGCTGTCAAATGGCGGCGCGCCTGTACCACCCGCTTCTGAGAACTGCTAACACTATGCATTATAATTAACATTAGGGATCTTGTTGTTGGCCAGACTGTAAATGATACTCTAACACATCCTCCGCTACAGCTTCAGTAAACTCTATTTTATTTGTGTGAATTTCCGTTGATGCGTTGCATGACAGAGTGACAGACAGACTGCTGTTTTGTTGCTTCTTAACCCATTGTAGTTCATAAGATACGAAACCATATGCGACACGCGTCTTTGTAGTCTTATTTTTAAAACATTTCACAAGAGATGAAAGATGTATTTAGGAATCGTAGCAATTGGCGTTCCATAGTCTCTTCTCTGCCAACCCCCATGGGAGACAGGCGTGAAGTTATGTATGTATGTATTCACAAGAGACTTTGGTAATTAAAGAATATTTTTGAATATGATTTTCGGTATAATTGTATCAAGTTCTTGACACTGATTGAAAAGGATGTTTAGTTGTACGCAAATATCCTTTTTGGATTCCTACATCAGTAATGCATTCTCGTGAAACTTGTGAGTTGCAGAATCAAGGGATTTATTTTACAAATCGAGAAATCTGAGTTCTGATAGAATTTATCCATAAAGGAGCTAAAAATTAAATCGGGCTTTAAAAAACTGACTTATATTTCTAGTGTTGAAAAAAAAGCAAGTCTACGCTATCAGTACTTGGCTTACTCGACGAATAGGAGACAACTAAACAACCGCTGGATCACAAAAAAGTATTAATAACAAATAGAAGACTGCAAACATACAGTTAGAAATGTTAGTAAACAAACAATAACAAAAACAAAGCGTCCACAGCGATGCATCCTAAACTGCGTACGTAACACAAACGTTAGCGTGCTGAGTCACGGCGTGTCCTGCCAGGATCGGCTATTTGTACGCGGTTACTCACGCACTGATGCGCTCGCAGTTCGCACAACTTTAGACGACAATCTCCGATCTGAGTTACGACTGGCTCTTGTTTTTTACTATACTATAACGAACTATCGCATTAAATACAACGTTTTATGGCCTGTTTCTACTTATTTCTAGATAGACTTAGCTTCTGGAGACAGAGTTTAATAGTCAATATAAGGACACTAATAAATTCTGTTCTCTCCTTCTTTGTCACTTTTACTTTATGTTAGAGATAAACTAAAAACCTTTGAACGTATGGAGAGCTTCCTTGGAGAAAGTGTGCAAATAGAAGCAGGGTATTACTTATTAGTAGCAAAACAAAATCTAACAAACATTTAGGACAATAGAGTAAAAACCAAACCCGAAATGAGAGAGATTACCATTGCAAATACGAGAAATTACTGTTAACTTTGACCCAATATGTATTTGCCTGTGTATTTTTATTTATGGCAATAAAAAAATATTTGGTTGAATGAATTGACAACTGCAAACAACAAGATATGATCTCGTGAAGTTTTTTTAGACTCCGAAACAGGCGATCAAGACTTATTTGGCCGTACAAAAAGTTTATAATGACGTATTGAATCAGACTGAGTCTACACTACAAGTGTATCTAGTGCCAATTCTTTTTACATCAAAAAGCTCTTCTGGGACAATACATCACAGACTGCGACCGTCTATAGTTTATTTTCGCTTCAAATCGTTAGATGACTCAATCTTCAACACCTTAATTCCACATTAAAACAATAGCAATAAAAATAGGGAGATTTATGAGCATTTTTAGTATTGGTGCGTATTTATATAGAGTTAAGAGCCATTTTAAACGAGTCTCACGTGCCTGTACGTCAGGCGGGCACACGTGGTCGGTAGACGTATCTGTGAATCATCCAAAGTGCGCTACTATTCTTATACCGTACTGTGAAATATTAGTTGCAAAACGATTATAATCTCTCTTCAACATTAGGCCATTTTTAACGGTAGGAATTTGGTGTTTGCGGTAATATTTCGTGATACAATAACACGCTGATTAATATATTAAACGTTGCGCGTTTCTAAGAATAAAAAAAAACATGCTTTTAAAGTCCTACTTATCCAGCTTCAGGTATTAAAGAAGTACATAATACGAAAGAAGTAAAAAGTTTCGATTCAAATTGTTTGCAACCAAAATACGAATGGCGAAATGCGCACTAAATTCCATGACTGCGTGGGTAGGCGAGAAAAAGTTCAAGTTCACGCACGATTTATGTTAAACGTATTCACAGGTTAGACTGTCAATTTTAATATCCTGTCTCGATTGGTGAATTTATGTTAGCGCATGTATACGTTTTTGGTATTTAACACGATCGCGTTCAGACACAATACCGAATAACACAAAGAGAACCAACACATTTTGAAGTACATAAATAACAATGATTTTTAAAAACAACATCGAAAACCTGACATGCGTGACTCACCCACTGTATAGTATTTATCAAAGCCAGCAGAATTTCTCACTTCCACATAATCATCATAACTGATCGGCACGTCGAGCAACTCCCACGAATTCTGAAAAATTAAACAATATGATTACAACCAAAAAGTTACAAGCCATCGCCAATAGAAATAATATAAATAAAACCGTAAATTCATATATACATATAATACAATATATTGTGTTAGTTGGTCCTTCACCAATTTTGCTATCTTCCACTACATAATTTCTCGTCTTCAAGGGATAGGACAAGGTAATAACAACATACGGTGTGTAAGACTTACTGGATCCACTTCGATCTGTAATGGCGTTTGATATCTCGGATCGATCGGTCTCTGAGACAGATTCCCGTTGTACTCTTTGACGGGCGTCATGGGACTGTTGGCGGCGCTCAGCCTGTCACAGTAATTCTGGTTGTAGTCCTCCTTCCTCACGGAGTTGGAGTTGCTGGTGACGGACGGGCTGCGCGTGGACAGCTTGTCGTTCTCGCGGCTCCAGTAGTGGTCCATGTCGATGTGGCGCGGGTTCATGTTGCCCACGTTGTAGTTGGCGATGGGCGACAGTCGGCGCGGCGAGGACGTGTCGCTGAAGACGGCGGGGCTGCGCGCCAGCAGCGACTCCTGCGGCGTGCTGGCCTCGCTGGCGGCGGCGCGCTCGGGCCCGGGCGAGCTCGACGTCCTGTTGATGGTCACGGCCGACCGTCCCGCTTCCGTATATGCTTCGGGCTTTTTAAATTGCTGTGGGATCCGAACCGGTCCTATTCTGTTATGTACATCCGGTTCATCTTTAGGTAAGGCCGAGGTTTTGGGATGCGCCTCGGCGGCCATTAAGTTCTGTAGCTTACTCACTTGAGTTTCGACGAAGCTGCGAGGCCGGGGCGGCTGGATGGTATGGTCGATGTTTCGGAGCAGTACGGGGTTGGAGGCGGTGGTGTCGGGGTACTGTGTCGGGATGTGTACTTGTGACAGTATGCCCTGGTCAGTGTCGGTGTCGAGGCTGTCTTGAGTGTCGTATTGCATGTACTCGTCCTCCGAGCACTCCTCGTCCTCGTCCTCGCAGTCGTCGTAGTTGATGGGCGTGTCCGCGCCGGGGAAGAACTCGCACAGCGCTGACATTATGTCTACCACCTGAAACATTAATACATAAAAATTAGATATTAATATAAGGTTTATACACTCATTAATTATTATGTCATTTAAGATTCCAGTAAGTGAGAAGTATATAAACGCATAGTTATCATAGAGACGCTAGTGTAAAACCAGTTTCTTCGAATTTCCTTTTTCTGAATTGCAAAAATTGTTCTAAAACCTACATCACAGTACCTATGACAAAATGAAATAAATAACAGCTAAACAGCCTCGTGGCAGGTGGCTATTTCAATGAATAATTTGCTATTGTCTATTTGTATTGTTTCTAGTTGCACAGGTGGCCTGTAGACTACAGTGAGTAATCGCTTTATAATAGCATAACCTTTACTATTGGCAACAGATAGGCCCACTCATCATTTATATTTGCACTAGCTACATCACGCGACACTGTCCTCGCGACGTTCAGATGTTTAGATAGAATTGTATCATTCATAATACGAATAATTAAATTTAAATGTGTCTTTCGACTGTTAGTCTCGTATGAATGATAAATGAAATGTATTTAGAAAGTTACGAATCTAATTGCGTCTGCATTTATTGCTATTAGTTAATGAATGCCATAAACACATAAAACTCGTTATGTATTATATATGTTACAAAGAAAAAAAAAACTACTTATATGGATGAACTAGCTACTTCCGCGCGGTTTCACACGCTCTGCTCAGCTCCTATTGGTCGTAGCGTGATGTTTTATAACCTATAGCCATCCTTGATAAATGCGCTATCCAACACAAAAAGAATTATTCAAATCAGACTTTTAGTTACGGAGATTAGCGACAAACTGTTCCGCTTTATATAATAGTATAAGATTTGGAGTTTGGTGCAGAGGGCACATGATTTTGTAATTGATAGGTTAAAAAATATCTTTCAGTACCCACGTAACAGATACTACTTAATACAATAGCGATTGTGTTGCTTAATTACAATACTAAAGTTACAATTGCATTGTCTTATGCTTACTTTAGCCATGCTGGGTCGCTCCGCAGGAACTTTGTGCCAACATTGTGTCATTAACTGCTCTATTGGCTCAGGACAACCCTCTATCAAGTTTGGCCTTTGACCTAGAATTTTTAAATAACTTATATTATAATAAAAGTTGAAAATAAATTATTTTTCTATAATCACACCACAATTAAATAAAATTAATGAAACCATTAACAATTTCAACAAAGACTAGGTACTTTTATTCTTAATTTAAATGACATAATGTCAGATCTCAAAGGAGTATTTAATTCAAATGATGTTAGAAGGATGTGCAGTATTTATGGTAAAAAATAATAGATGGTAGGCGGAAGGCTGAATGAATCACGTTGTAATGATATCATGATTCACTGGAACTAAACCTTTAATAGGTAGTTTTATTGTTTAGCTTTGATGAGTAAACCAGTACAATAAAGGTTGACTGGCTACCTATCTTTTATTGAGGGCCATAAAATATGTCATTAGATTATAAGCTATAAGGTTTTAACTGGTAAAACATTAATTTCATTTCTAGATTAAAATGAATGTTGCTATGTCTGCTTTGATAATTTATTAAACATTTTTTGATGATTTTAATTCTTTGATTAGTAGTTCATTATTACAATGTCTGTTTATTAACATCTTTTGTTACTGTTATCAGTAGTTATTTAATTTAATAAAGTAAAAATTTAATATCATATAACTAACAACAATTAAAGAAGTCTATAACCTTATGTTTTTTAAATAAAAAAATACTTAATATTAATGAGGCATTTTGTAAATATTAAAAAAATGACACCATGGTTGGCCATTGGATATTTTCCACTATTAAAATTACAATAACCAGTACTACTACTAAATTAGAATAAAAAGGTACCTGTATGCACAGCCCACATTATCCTAAAAGCTGACCCTCCTTCCTCGAAAGGTTTCCTCCGCGACAGTACTTCCCATAGTATAATACCCCATGAGAACACATCACATTTCTCAGTATATGTTGATCCTTCAAACACCTGTAATAAAAGAAACATTCATATAAGGAAAATGATACATAATTTACTATCTTTACTAAGAATAAAATTATCAATGAGAAAAAGCAGAATAAATAGATTTCACTCTGATAAGATATTGATAGTGTTTTTATTGCTATGTACTCATAAATGTGTACTGAACAATGTACGGAAATGTTGGAATGTTGTTAGTTCTTACTGATGGTTGTCGTACTGTGTCACAAAGACAATCTTAGTAAGTAACCTTTCTCTGTTTATGAGTTATTTCTGAGTATGACGTAATAACTGGACTTATACTGACCAAACTGGCGATACATTAAGAAGGGCTAAATTAAAAATACTCTTGCATGAAACAATTGATGACTGTTGATGAAGAGCTTTCACTCTCCTCTTTAGGTATGAAGGAATTGTAGCAATTGGCGTTCCATAGTCTATACCTACCTCTATGGAAGACAGCATGCCTGTCTCCCATTATATTATAAGTTATGTATGAAGTAATAAATAACATCTCAGATCAAGCAAGGGTATTTGAATATATTCAGAGTCAGTTAAAAATCCCTCTGCATGGTAAAATAAACTTTGGCTATTGGCAAGTTTGGGATAAGTTACGTAATATACTTGAGACACCAGGATTAGACAAGGCTTTAACAAATTATACAATAGCAGTACGACAAACTACATCTAGCTATTTTTGGCGCCATTCAACTATATCTATTTATAATCATTACATTCACATAATAAATCCACTTATCAATGATGTTATCATTTTATTTATTGTTTCCTTATTTATATGTGAAATATAATCTAAAGTTTGTGCTGGAACTTTATCATTCTTTCCAAATAGTAGACTGTTTTAAAGAAATGATAAGATTCAGCAAGCGCTTCTTAATGTCTGGTAGGATTGCTGTATAGCTACAAACTTAGGTACTCTTTACTTTAGTACAATAATGGATCATGTACTTGATCCTATCCACGAAAACATCTTCAGCTGTAAGAAATTATTATTTCTGCACTAATTTGTCTAATTTCAGCTACCTTAATCCCGGCACACTAAAAACTACTTTCTATTTATATTTATACATTCAATTATAAGTCAGTTGATATCTTTTAGGCATCAACATTAATAAGGCACAATCATTATTATTTATTTACTTATTTATAGGTCTCAGTTTTCCTTTCCATCCCAGGGAACAAAGATTGTTTAAATTACGCTAAGTTAACTTTGAAATAATATCTGTGATTCTCAAATTAAAAAGACATTCATCGTGCTGTCGATTTTACAGTAGTGAATAGATTAAATAGTAGACTATCAGTACTACCAAAAGAATATGCAGCAAATGGTACTTGTTGGAGAATAAATGTATGGTTGCTAAACATAAGAGTTTGAAACTGTCAAAACATTGAAGCAATTGAAATATTCAATCTTCGATCAACAATAACAACTAGATATCGGGTCGGCGCAAGAAAATCGTCTCGCCAAATAAGAGCTCACTTGAGAAGTGAGCTCTTATTTTGTTTAGTATGCTCCAAACACGGCCAACGTTCTCACGTCTCACGATGCCGCAGTGCGTGGAAAAATTATAACCGAAAAAGCAGTATAACGGCCGTAGTGTCTTACTTTTGATAAGTACATAAAGTATAAGTTATATTTTAAGCTTTTGAACTAGTAAATAATAGCAAATTAGACAAAATTACCAATTATAAACCAAAGCCACCAATGTTTGTGCGTGTGTTGGCGATCCCTTGGCCAAGCCTCGCCAACATGCACACAAACATTTGTTTAAACAGAACAGTGGATGCATGGAGTCGATTTGTATTGTTAAATAAAATTGTATTGTAACCTGATTGGAAAAGAGTATCTAACCTATAGAGTTTCTTGCTTGTTCTTCTCCATAGGAATCTACACCTTGGAATGAGCAAATAGCTTCACTTTTAAATTTATATTGTTGACGTTCAAAAGTGCCTTCCTGGTCTAACTATCTACACCTTGGAATGAGCAAATAGCTTCACTTTTAAATTTATATTGTTGACGTTCAAAAGTGCCTTCCTGGTCTAACTGAAATAAATGATTTTGACTTAGACTTTTAATGATAAAGTAAATAAACATATCATATACAAAAACGTACCGCTAATAAAAATAAGTGATGTATACTAAGATCCCGAAATCTTAATTATCATATTATGAAATTATTTTAGTGTCCAACGCGACTCCATACATACCTCTTGTAGCAAAATTCGAAATTTGAAAAAGCAAAACGAAATAAAACAAAACGATATAGATCGCAAGACAATAATGGAAAAAATATCTTTAATTGTTCAAACTTAAGGTTGAATTCAAACTAGATATTGTATAGCTTATGTCTTTTAATTTCTACATGACAGGAGTTTTACTTAATACTTTTCTCGTCTTATGTGACGAATGGTCGTAAGTATTAGATAATATTTTGACGATTTATGACTGTATTATTAGGTCCCATGGTTGTTATTAGGTTGAACTTAAAACTATTTTAAAACATTTTCCTCCGTTTGTTATATTTTTACTATTATTATTCACACGGACAGAACTGGAGCTTGATTTTGTACGTAACCCTTTATCTAGTTGCTATTGTTGATCGAAGTATTCAATGCTAAGACAAACTATGATTCCAATAATATGCAACTTTCTATAGAAATATAATTCTATCAATTTAAAAAATAAATTTGTTAATTATAGACATTGTTGATAACAATTCCATGATTATTTTTAGAGTATTGTTTTCCTACTTGAGTTAAATTTCAGTAATATTTATATTATTGCGAACAACATGCAGCAACTACATAATAAACATTATGCCTACTTAAATATTCAACAGTTACTTATCAATAACGTCTATTGAAGACAGGATTGTAGATTAATAATATTGCAAAGAATTTATTATCTGTGACGTCTGTTGTCAGGCATTAAACTCTAGAGAATATAGGTGATGAATTATTCTTCTTATCTATGCACTTTAAATATTAATTATTCAAATTCAATCTTTACTTATGATGTTTGTTTTTATAGATATCACAAATTGTAGATGCTGATTGTGATCAGTGCCATGTATACATTTATATTCCTTTGGTAAGAATCTCAATATCAATAATCTTAAACTCATTCATATAACTTTCAAGGAGTAACATTTTTATAAAAATCTCCTGAAATCTAACCGAAAGATTATTGTTTAAGCGAATAAGTGTACTAGAAGCAATAACCAACCTCAGGTGCCATCCACGCAGCACTGCCTTTGTTATTTGTCATGTAAGTAGCTTTATCTGCAGCAGTTCCAAAGTCACAGATCTTTAGCCTTTGCCCTCCTCCCACCAGCAACAAGTTGGGTGGTTTTAAATCTCTGTGTATCAATGGCTTGGGTTTCATCGCATGGAGGTATGCTACACCCTGGAATATTACAATCGAATATTATTTTTATATATTTACACTCAACAACTTGATTAAATCATGAACAATAGCTCGCAAACTATTAATACATAGACAGGAGATAATGTTTGATGAAATAAGCAAACATTTTACACAATTGATACAAGAATTCACAGATATCAAGTGATATAGAGCTAAGATTATAACAAAATTTTAACCTCGGCGCATTGACGAGCCCAACTCATTGCATGAGCTGCGTTGTATTTAGGTTTGGGGCGGTTGTGCAGCACATTGTATAAGGAGCCTCCCTCTGCGTACTCCATGACTAGACAGACGTGGGCGCCCTTCGTGCACGCTCCATACAACCGCACGATGTTCGGGTGTGACACACGAGACAATTGCCGCACTTCTATTGAAAATTCCCGCTTCTCAGCCTCAGAATTAATGTGTTTTACTGCTACTAGTGTGTTTCTCCACAAACCTTTCCATACTACGCCAAACGCTCCCTTGCCCACCACCTGGCGACAGAAATTGAACACTTATAGTCCTAATTAACATTCTACAGCTTATAAAAGACCAAATTACATCCCAATATTTACCGATAACTCCTGAATTTCATTGTAATCTATCTCCTCCACAAATGTCTGCTGAACAGGCGAGTCTTGCACATTGGAAGCCATGGGTACACTTAATATCACATTATCAAAATGACTAGCACGTTAATATAACGTTATTTATTAAGATCTACCTAATTTTCTTTATAAAAATGTAAAAATAGTTGGTTATCTCAATTTTCTCAGTATTGTTTGGCAGAGAAAAGCAACTGCGACAAGGCAGCCATCTTTGAAACTGTAGAACAAATGTCACACCGTGATAGTGGTGTATCATTCCGATAAACGAAAAATCGTAAATATGATTGTTTACGTTCCAATTTTTTTAATTTAAATATTTATTGTTTCCTAGACTATCGACAAATTAAGAAAATTAGAATTTTTATTATGATTCCAACAGAAAAAATAATTAATTAACTTTTGTCTAAAATCTCTTTTCGTTCCGTAAGTACTCCGCTAATATATTTTAATTTTATGCATCAAAATAACTATACTGGGTAATATGTAGGTACCTACCTATCGAAATGTATACCTAATAGTATGTAACATAATAAAACTGTAGAAACGAAAATACTCTAAATACATTAAAGATATTTAAAAAATAATTAACGAGATATGTTAGGTACTACATCGATATATCAAGAACCCAAAAAATCCAAGGATGTATGTTTCTTCTGTCAACTTAATATATGGAGCATGAAAAAAACTTAATGCAGGTAGATAGCTAGGTACTTATATAAGGGGGGGAAATCATCGAATGACTGCTCCCGCCTGGGTGAGGCGGGATGGAGTGTCAGACTCTTACTGACTAAAACCACCCCGTTCCTTCTCCTGCGCTTCGAGCCGGAGCCCCGGTAACCCGTTATAATGATTTCAACTGAATGTGGGTTAACAACTTATTCAATGTAAATCATTGTTATCAGACAAACTATTGTGTAGATGTGTGGTGTTCATGTTGCTTTATTAAATTACAAAGTACAGGATTTTAGCAACTAAACAAGGGTATTTTCCTACAAACTATCTGCCTACATAATAATATGGAAACCAAATATGGATATGACTAAACGAAAACATAAATTAGTGATTGCGTTTCAAATTGTCCCCAATAATGTTTCGTGAAGTCGAGCCTAGTAGAGCATCTTCATCGATATCGACAATTAAACTGCAGAGCTCTTCGAATTGCTCCAAAAGACCGAACGCTTCTTTACAATTGAATATCGCTGCGACTTCTTTAGGTGTTTGATTTCTGTGATTGACTGCATATAAATCAGCTCCTAAGTCCACTAGGATATTAATAAGACGAATATTGTTGCTCATGGCCGCAAAATGTAAAGATTGTCGCCCACCCGGTGCATCAGGGTCATTAACTACTGCTCCTTTCTCCACGAGAAGACGTAGTATTCGTTCTTCTTCTCTTGTTGGAATACACATCATGACAAATTCTGAAAGATAAATTAAAAGGTCATAAGGAGCAAAATTGTTATTTCAAAAATAAGAGGAGGTTTTCGTTAAAATGAGCTGGTTAAGCTGTAGGTAGTTGAGATGTGAGAGATGTCGTTGTTTTCAGAACTCACGTAGGAATAAACCAGTGTCCATTGGAGTTAACCTTGGCATAAGTGCAGCGCCATGGTCGAATAACATTGACGCCATTCGCCAAGATGGTCTGAAAAGTAATTTGAAAAGCTATATATATTTATTTTCATAACAAAATTACCTACGAACCTAATGCCTACTTATGTCCCGATAAGAAGCTAGAAATACTTATGCCTAATAAGAAATAGAACAGAATCGAACATTGGTTTTGTTCATCTTCATTCCCTTTACGGCCACTGTTGAACATAGCCATTTCCATTTTCAGTTCATTCAGTCTTCCATAGTACACCGTGAGTGAACTAGACCTTCAGTGACTGTAGCCCTTCGCATCCAAACTTTTCCGGCAAGGTGACTTATGGACAGACGCGCTCCATCGTAGGCCGCATCGTCGCTTACCATCAGGCGAGATAGAGGCCTAAAAGACAGCGACTTTGCGGATATTGTCACTCCAGTTAGCTGGAGGGTCAACACTACGTTTGCTTATACAGTTTTACTTGAATTGGGAAAAAATGCGTTTCCAATATACATAGGAAATGTTGTGGCTTAACATACTATAGGTACCTTCTCATTAAGCACAAGGAAAGCGGTGTCATGCCCAAATGGTCTTTTATATTGACAACCACTCCAGCTCTTAGCAGCATCAAAACCGCATGTTGATTTCCCGAGCAAACAGCTAAGTGGAGAGCATTACGACCCAAATGGTCTTTGTCGTTTATATTAGCTCCTCGGCTGCAAGGTTTTTACACACACTTATTTATCTCGTAATGATGACTACGCACGAAATGAATAGATGCATGGAGAGAAGTTTGATTCTGTTGCAAAGATGCTAAGGTCCACGTCCACTTAATAGCATTTATTCAAGATGATTTATTTGAAATATTACCAAAATGTTTTATAGGTGTATGTACACCTACTTAGGTATATTTCGTAAGTTTTCGTTCATCAAAAATATAAGGACCTGTCTAATGCATTTTTTAGAATGTGCGTGTTTATATAGGTAGCTTTGCTTAGGTATGCGCACATTATCAGTGAAGGAGCAAGATAGTTGATATCTTAAATGTTTTATGGATACCTATTCTAAGTAATAACTAAGTAAAGGGGGATTAAGTTATAAAAGTTGTTTACTTTAGTAATATTTGTAACATCTTTTCGTCTCCAATTTCAGCCGCTATCAAGAAATCATTGTCATTGTGCAGGAATTCAATTGCCCGCTTGTATTTATTTGTGTCTTCATTTGTAAATAATGATAAGACTGATAAAGTGCCACTAGATTCACTTGCTTGGTCAAAAAATGATCGCATTGATGTTGGAAATGAAGGTATCACGGCATCTAAAGATTCGTCCGAATACGCTGTGTAGACAACAAGAATTAATTAAAATACGTTAATCTAAATTTTAAAACTATACGACAGACATATATCTAGTTATTTGGGTCCTTAGTATATCAATAAAAAAATGCAAGACTTACCAGGACTGTCATGGTCAGTGTAGGTTTTTTGTACTTAGGTACATGGGAAAGTTCATAACAAGAAAAAGAAAACGCTTCAATAATCATAAATAAAAGAAAAAGATCAATGTCATAAAAATTTAATGAAATTAAGGCGATAACAAATAACTGCATAATACATTGGCTTATAAGCTTTCATTATGGGCTATGTTGTCCTCCGTTTTTTAGAAAATTTTGTGATGTGGCTTCAGGTGTAGAAGTCAATGGAAACGTGCTAAATTGTTCACTCTCTAATATCGTTTCCAATTTCGGTACATTTTCTAGCAGGGACGATTTCTTTTTCGTTGACATTAGCGAACCTTCAAAGTCCAAAAAGGTATCCTTATTTCTCAAGTAAGATATCACTATAGAATCATTATCGCAGTCAGAGTCACCAACCAATAGTTCGTTATCACTTTGAAGGTTAATGTCTATCATTTGCATTTCATCAGACGAGTCGGTTCCTCTCAGCAGCGGCGGTACCAATTCATTTCTGAGATCTGTGCTGGTTGACGGCAAGTCCACAGGCGTAACGGTGTTATTTAAATATTTTGTCAAAACCGTATCTCTAGGGTGAAATACATTGTCGATAAGTAGTTCCTTAGAACTTGGATCACTGATGTTGCTTGAGTCCACAATGACGAACATTGGCTCACGGTCACTTCCAAGGAAATCAAGATCTCTAGGTGAAAAGTGGACGCCCGCCTCATCTTCGCTGGAAAGAATATAGTAGTACTTAAGTTGAAGAAGTTTCTCAATGAAACCGGCGAAGTATCGTCTGCTTGTTCTCTGGAACTAACGAAATAGTTTGTGTAGAGCGCTCGTTCGTTGTCGTAACAGAAGAGTTATTGAATAACTTGTACCTGCTGAGTGTGACCGCGTGCGACTCGCGTTCTGCGCGGAGCCTGCTTTGCACTTGCATTAGATGCACAATATGAGCCGGTAGAATCTCGCGGTCAGGGTACCAATGAGTTAAGAACGATGTGAATAGGTCATTTGTTAATCGTAGGGTGCACATTTTAAGGTAATTAAATAACCAAAACCGTGATGCATACGTCGGCTGCGCGATTTCCCTGGTCGGTTCTCCATCCTGCAGTCGCTGGCTTTCAGTGGATGTAACTGCGTCGTTGTATGTCACTCCTGGCGTACTTTTTGTAATACTTATCCTATTGTGGATGTTTTTATTCATATTAACTTATGAAAGTTGCGGTTTTGCTTAAATTACATTTACTTTTTTAGAAAATTACTTTATTTTTTTCTAAATTCTCTTTATTGATTCAATATTGACAAATGCACTTAACACTGACATAGATTTACGTTGGCCAGCATTTTGAAAAAGTATATACATAACTATAGTATTTATTGTAGTATCTACGCTACGGTTTTACAAAAATGAAACATCAATTTAAGATAACACTATTTTATTTAATACAGCAAGTTTACATTTACATATATAATTATTAGCTAATACTAATTCAATGTAGAGTACATTAATAAATTGTGAAGTTTTACTCCACCGTAAACTATGAATGTTCAATGAAACTAACAATTATTTGATAAAAATTGGTTACATTTTATAAATTGCGTAGTTAACAGATATGATGAAAACAGAAGTAGGTACTCCAAGAAGAACACACAATCCATAGACTTTAAATAACTTTACAAAAATAATACTTTTATTGGCAGAACAAGTTACGAAATCAAGAATAATCCAACAATTTCTATTAATTGTAAATTTCATATAATTTGAATACTACTTAGGCCTTAAAATTGTAATTTATGTAAAATAAGTAAATACTAAATATTCTGACACTGTTATAAACTATTCCTATCACTAGGGTTTGTTAGGTATCCGCTACAAACTGCGAATTAAATGCACGACAATCTCCCACTCCAAATCAAAACCTGCCCTGGCGTCCATCCGACAACAAGCCTGGCCACAACTCTATCTGCTGGTTCGCTTAATTTTCCGTCCTGGCTGTTTATTCAAAGACCTGACCGTTAAAGGAATCACAGGTTGTTGAGAATGGACACCGCTTTCAAACAACGCTTTACAGTATCAGTCGCCGATAGACAGGAATATCTTGCTCTTGTACTCGCGGAGCTGAGCGCAGCAGCTCGGCCAGAGTGTATAGGTCGTCGCGGGGCCTGTAGCTATTCTGGTGGTTCATCATGCCGTCTGACCGCTTCCTAGCGACCATGAAGCGCTTCATCTTGTTAGCATATTGCCTCTTTCGACGAGCCTCCTCATACCGTTGGGCTAACTCTGCCGGGCCAACTTGATACATGTCGGGATAACCATGGGCAAGAGCCATACGGTTCTGTTCAGAGAAGTATGAGTGGCGAGGGTAGTCTCGTTCACGAGGTGAAATCACGACGGGTTCGCTGTACCAGATGTCTCCATTCTCATCAACCTCGGGCTGCTCGTCTTCCGGGTTTACATGTCCAACTCCATAATAGCGTTCAGGAACCCATTGGTTCTGTGCATTCCATTCCTGTTTCTTGCGTTCCTGTGCCTCCCACAAGTTGAGCAGAGCTCGGACATCGGCTGCACTGAGACCAGAGTCTCGTTTGCGACGTTCTGAGGTAGGCCTAAACGTAAATGAAATTATTTAGTTACGATAATACTGTGATGACTTACATACTTACACCTATTCAAGGATGGAGGTTTATGTTGACCTGAAGTTCTTTTTATTTCCACCGGAATTTTTGGTGGCTGTTTTGGCAGAGGCAGCCGCTCCGCCCACCTTTGTGCCACTGCCGCGCTTGCGGCGGTGTGCGTCGTGTTCGTGAGTCATCGAATCCACGGGCGAGAGAGCATCGTGCTCCTCCGGTCTAAAAAATAGAATACTGTAAGTCTAGTGTTCTTATAATAGCAAATGCAATTGGTATTGGCCGGATGACTAAAGCACTCACTTCAGATTTTTCTTGCCCGAGCCAGATTTGGTGGCTACTTTAGTAGCGGCCCCTGCGCCGCCGACTTTAGTTCCGCTTCCTCGTTTGCGACGGCGCGAGTCGTAGCTGGTGGCTAAACCTTCCATTGCTGGGGGTTCACCATACAATTCGGGCCTCATGATCAAGTTATCGAGCTCCCCATTGGGTTGCGGGGAGTCGAATCTCTGATCTACACCCTGTTCGAACCCTTCGGAATTCCCTGCAAAAAATTGTGTTGTGTTTGAAAATAGCAAAGTTCGAGGTCTCAAAAATGTTAACAATCGGTCACGTAGTTACTGCCATACTACAAACGGAAAAAAGTATGGCCTATACTTTCATCCGATATAATTAATATTTTTGATGAAGTTGTTTTGGTATTGATAACCTACTTTGAAACATTATACAATAATTTAAATGCAGCTAGTTTATCTTACACACATTGAACCTACAGCACCAAAAAGATCCATAAAATGAGGTAAGTGTGCCTCATGTGTGCCTATAACGAGTAGTTTCATTACTATCTACATATTTGCAATTCCAAATTAAGGTTAATGATTAGTTAACGTTTGTATAAATCCTTACGCCTATAACTCCATTCTTGTCCACTTAAACTGCATCAAGCAATAAAGGATGATCATAGTCGGCGAGCTTGCAACCTGTTCGTTCGTACTGGGCTATTGTAGTATACAATTTCACAATCAGTGCGTTATTATTGTACACTGCACATTGTCAGTGTCCTGTTAAGTCCCTGTTGCCTGTTCTATACGAAATCTTTACGTCTTTAAATACCTAAATAAATTACAATCATCCGAGATGTCTGAAATGTATGTTACCTAAATAACCGATGTTATGAATATTGAAGTTACATAATAACGACTGATTGACTCCGAAAATAAAATAAGCGATTAGGTACAACAAACAAATATGCAAAAATGAAAGGAAGCAGAAATACTGATAACACTAATAATTCAACTTATAACCCTTTTAATAGATACACAGAGGTACAATATAAAGCAACAAGTTTTCAGGGACCATTAATATTACCTTCCTCACTTAGAGCCAACGGGTAAGGCTCCAAGTCATTTTTATCGCTCTTATTCAGGAAAAGCGATTGAGTGTCGTCTTTTGTCTGGTCCCAATTCTCGGGAAGCTCACCAATTGGGCCGCCATCATCTAAAATGTTATTTACATTGATAGTGTGCCTCGAAATATGTTCAAGACAATGTGCGAAGGTATACAGCTACTGTGACTACTGTGTACTGAATGTACCTGATGATGTACCTACATACACTACCTATAGATCAAAATATTTAAGTCTTCAGTAGCGCTCGATTTAAGAGTTTTTTATTTTTACTGACGAAAAATTTAAATTGGTAAAGGTTTGGGAACCACATTCACAAAATGGCACTTGATAGCTAGGTATAGATTTCCTATTTCTGGACCCATGAACCCTTGGGATTGTTAAGCAAGTCCATTCTTCTCGATGGACTATTATGTCCTGCGGATATTGATTTATGAGTTTGAGTTTGAGTACCCCTACGACCGAGGGAGAAATTGTCTAGAAACTTGTTTGCAAAAACGCAATGTAGGTAATGTACAAAGGCGTGTTTTATGTGAGAGACGAGATAATTTTGTGAATGAAACTGACTACCGTGTAGAATGATATTCCAGCTATGTAAGTACATATACATATTGTGGCTAGCTAGACCGCTAACAACGTAGTATAATGAAAAGCCAAGTCATCTGGAAAGTTTTTACCCTTTTTATCTAACAGTAACAGATCGAAGAATATCTACATACATATGTACCTACCATACTATGTTGATAAAACTTTCAGTGGAATGATAAGAATCTATATATCTAGAATAGTATGGGAAGAGCAATGCCTACCTACTTGGGTATGACCGTAGGTACCTATAACACGGAACTCTACTTACCTATAAATAGGCACCTATGCTATGGTTTGAGGAATCAATACCTACAGGTTCTTTGAAAACGATGTAGGTAGAGACCTACTTTTTATACATAAACACCTACGTATCTATGTTCCTTTTTTTAGACTGCCTTGCTAGTGGATTCATTTGTAAGTACCTATCCGACATAAGGTATCGCGTGTGATTCCTCGAGTAATGTAGAATTGGGTGTTTCGATTTCAGATTGTCATTACAAAATCATCACCACAAGGATGAGATCGTTCATTCCGCTATAGAGGGTTCATTTTTGTGTTCCCCCGACTTCTTTACGTTATGTTTAATATGTCTCAGCAGATATATAATATTACCCAAGAGGTCTCGACTGAAGAGAGGTTTGGCTGGGGACCAGAAATTTTTTATTGATATCAAGGCCATGTCTGAAAATTCCAATAGATCTAGGTACTAGTTGTAGGTACCCTTAAAAAGGTAGGTACTTACGTAGGGACAGACACATGACAGATAAAAGGGCTGATGGAAAACCTCACAATAATAAATAAAATAAATTGTAAATTTTTCGTATATAGATTCTATACTTCGTATATAGACCTATTCCTTGCCCAAAAATACAGAGAAATATTAATTTGTGAAATTGCCTAAAAGCTTGTCTCCAATAAATCCAATGAAAACGAAATATCTTCGGTCCTATCTTTGACCTTGAATATTTATAAGCCCTTTGTTGACCGAATGAAGACATCAAAATAACAACGCCCACATTAATCTCCCTTAAACTGTGACGCGTATTCTTTGGAATCTTTATAAATGGATGACTGGAATCGATAAAAAGCTCCTATTTATAATCTATTATATTCCAAAGGTCACAGTTTATGGAGAAAATATGGAACTACGCCGCAGAACAACATCGGCGCAGAAAGGACACCTGTTGACCTGTTGCTATATATAGATAGAACGCTCCCGGCCGCGGCTGATCGATACTCTCACCAAAACAATACAAACGAACCGACATGATACCGATATCCTGCGCGTAGATTAGTAAGCCTGACATCTGCTAAAAACTTTGATAAGCCGTTGAAAAGTAAAGAGTTACGTACCTTTATTTGTAGGCGTAGGCACCGCACCTCCCATCAGAAAAACCGCAAAAAATGCGGCTAAATTAAATAATAACATCGTTGCCGAATTTCAGTATGGTAGGATAATTAATGTAGAATTATTATGAAAATGAGGAGGAACACTGGTTGCGACTGTTATGTGACCGAGCGCAGGGAGCGAGTGCCGTTTAGCAGAGCTCAAGCTGG